CGCCTTTCAGAAGCAGAATCAGCATCTCAAGGATTTGCCTCCAGTGGTCACTGCTGCCTACTTGCTGCTTCTATCTAGGCTGCCTAAAGATACCTCCTTCGAAGGCAAGCAGCTAAAGACGCGGCCCGGGCGGTTTTTTAATGGACGACACACCATTGGATTTTTGCAGATTACTCCACGCTGACGTTGCATGTCGCCACGGTTCACGTATCTTCAACTCGACATGCCTTTGCTGCGATAATGGGCTAAAACACAAGGATGACTTGGGGCACCGCCAAAGACGGCGGTGACAGCAGTGCTGTGAAGGAGCTTTTGCAGAATGTGCATGTGCAGTAGATCGAATGCACAGAGGCGGCGTTTGCATGCATTGTTGATGAAGAAGGCCGCGTCGTTTCCTGGGGCAGCTTTTGTGATTGCTGCGGTCCCATAATCAGGATGCCCGATGGGTTGAGGGATGTGGTGGCGATCCAAGGCAACAAGGTGGCGTTCGCTGCTGTCCTGCGAAATGGATCGGTGACAACCTGGGGCGTTGGATCTTGTGGCGGCAACAGCAGCCGAGTGGCAGATCAGCTGCAGACTGCGCAAAAAATTCCAGACCGATGATATGTCGTTTGCTGCCATTCGTGGCGATGGGTGCGTGGTGATGTGGGGCATAACCGACTAATTGCTGAATTGAAGGATGTGCAACATATCCAATCATCCATGACTGCCTACGCTGCTATTATAAAATGCGATGGAACGGTGGTCACCTGGGGAAACAGCAGCAGTGTAATGGCTGAGCTGAAGGATGTGCAACATATCCAGGCCAGCAAGCACGCTTTTGCGGCCATGCTTGGCGGTGGCTCCGCTGTTTCATGGGGTGGTCGAGGCTGGGGCGCCGACAGCACTGCCGTGCAATATCAGTTGAAGAATGCTCAAACGATCCAATCGACCTTTTCTGCTTTCGCTGCCATTTTGGCCGACAAGTCTGTGGTTACCTGGGGGCACGATTCTTCTGGCGGCGACAGCCTCGTCGTGCAGGAGCAGCTAAAGAATGGTGAGCAGATTCAATCCACGAGCCAAGCCTTTGCCACCATCCGTGGCGATGGCTCTGTCGTTACATGGGGCCCTTATTTCGTGACTCGCGAGCTGACGGATCAGCTGAGGGATGTGCAACAGATCCAAGCCAACCAAAATGCTTTTGCTGCCATCCTAACCGGTGGCGCGACTGTTTGTTGGGGTTGGGGCAGAGAGGGTCGTGACAGCAGTGCCGTGCAGGAGCAGCTGAAGAATCGCGCCGCCCCCGCCTGTTGGGGTTTCCACCGCCCTAGTTTCAGGGTTCCCTTCCTTAACCCGTTCGGAGCCCCCGCGTAGGAGTGCCAGCCAAGTGCCCTGCATGCCAGTGTTTTGGGTGGTTTGGTTTTTCTCCTCGCCCTCCTGTTGGGTTTTCCCCGTCCGACCCTTAACTTAGGTTTCAGGGATTCCTTCGACGCCCTAGGAGTGCAGGTAAGTTCGTGTGCGCAAGGCTTCGGGTTTTGTTCGGGGGGTTTTCGGTTTTTGGAAGGCCGTTGGGCTCCGGATCTTGTGCAACCGCCACGAACACGCCGCAGCAGGAAGCTTGTCCCAAGAAGCATCTTGCCGTCTCGCGCGCCCAGGAACCACCGATCTCTGTATCTTTGACGGAACCCCCAACTACGGATGGGGTTCAGCAAAATTAGGGACCGAGGCTGAAGTGCTTTCCACTTAATATTGCCAAAATTCGCGGATCCCGGACCGTGCTCGCCGCAACAGCTACTCTCTGCACTCTTGACGCAACCCGCTCGCACTGATGGGCCAACATGGTCTTGAACAAGTACTGCCGGATCCCGAAGCACAACCAACATGCTCTCCCCCGAAACTGGCGGTTCCAAACCCACGGCAAAAGGCTGTCCCCATTAATGCTGGCGTCCCAGAGGCGTGAACGGCGCGTCGCAGGCGCTGGATCCCCTCCCCACCTGCAGCAAAAACAAATTTCCCGCAAACGCAAAAAATCCCACAGAAATTCTGCACCCATAATGAGACCATCACCCCGTGAGCTTCAAGCTGCTGCTCTCCTCCCTGTGACTCGTGATTGTCAGTTGAAGAGTTGAAGGTCATTATCCATTATCGCAATGAGAACGACCAAGGAGATGCTCAGGACGGGCAGAAAGGGAGTTGTTGGCGCCGCTGTTCCTTTTTTTCTGCCACTTTTGCAATGGCTCAGCCTTTTGGCTTCAACCAGGGGAGCTGAAGGCATGCGTTGCAATCTAGTGAAGACAGTCTGAACATGTCAGCGCCGTCCCGAGTCCAGTGCGCCCCCGTTTAGCTGGTGCCGGCACATGTGAAGCTTGAGTTGCAGCGGTCGGGGCAAATTCACTCCAAAGTAGGAGGCCTCAGGAGCATTCGAGATGCCTGAAGATGCCTGCAGAAGCCAACCTTAGCCAACGCAGGGAATGGCCGGACGAGAAAACCTGGTAAGATGCATTCACTGTATTGCGGATTACGAGCGACGAACGACCAGCCCTGACAGGAGCCTGAAATAGAAGAGCCCATGGAGGCAGGTTTCTTTCGTGCCTGTTTCTAGTGGCGGTGATGCGCTGACTGTTTCCACACACTCATTGTCCTAACTATTGGTTTGCTTGGCATTGGTCTGAGCGTTTGTCTTGAGCAGGGAACGGAGATCAGTCGAGACGCTCAGGTGCGAACTAATGCGAACACAACTTGCGCTTTCTGCTCGCCTCACGGCCCCCGGTCCACCGTGCACGTCGCAGGCCTTTTTCGACGACCTGCCTCCTGATGGCTTCTTGCCGGAGGAGGAGGCTTTGAGAGAGGCTGGGATTGTTGTCAGAGCGACATTTTTGCTGCTTTGAAAGCAGTGGGAGGCCATCCTGAATTTTTTGGATAGCTCGGGCCCAGACGCCCCCCCGACACTTAAAGAGGCCCAGCAGGTCTCGGAGGCCGGCAAGCGCTGCGCGGCCGAGAGCTGTGCCAGTGTGAGATGCGATTGCCATAAGCCTGGTCTTGGAATGTTTCGGCTTACAGTTTTGGCTCCGCCTTTCCAAAACAAACAACGTGACGACACCCGGCTGCAGGAGGTTCAGGGTCACAGAACGTGGGTCGGCACGCGACCTACCACCTAGGCAATGCGGCTACTAGCCGGAGTGCAGCTTCTGGCAAGCCTGTGGCTTCTGCAGCCGGCATTGTCGCAACTCGATCCAAACATCAGCAAGGCAGTGTCAGCGGAAGCTTTCAACGGCCAAGGCAACAAGTTGGGCAGATCAAGGGGCGCATCAGCATCCCCCACAAGTACCAGGCCTTGAGAGAGGAGGGGTCCCCAAGGTGGGCTGTTTTTGGGTCCCGGCCAGTCAGGAAGTAATCAGTGCCGCCAGCGGTGCGGGCCTAGCAGCCGCCCGGGTCATCCTGGATGGAGGCTTCCCGTTCTTCAAGAGTTTGCGTCTCCGCACTTTCAACATCTCGGCTTGGGAATCGTAGGGTAACCGTAAAGAGACTCAGGCGTTATGTCAACTCGATTAAACTTGAAAGCCTGTCACGCTTGTTCACGGTGCTAGCATGTGCTAGCTGCGAGTGGAAAGTGCGATACCGATTCACCCATGGCCCATGATCATCAAGTTGTGTCATCGCTGCTCTTATTCAAAGCAGGAGCACTGGGCCGTGTTGTCTGAAATCCGGGATCCGTGCCTGCAGGTCTCCTGTCGGCCTTGCCTGCTTCAGACGGGCGCTTCGGCAGATTGAGGGGAAAACCACAAGTTGCTTGCGAAAGGCGTTTGCACCCCGACAGGCACTTTGCCCTCAACGGCGTAGCCGTTGGGCCTCATATTTTGCAGGCTCGGCGAATCTCCTGAGCCACTGCGCAATGCCAGAAAGCTGCTTTCTGTGCGTGCCATCGTGGCGCCACAGGTTGTTCATCCGCTGCTGAGCTTCGACCCAGTCAGAGTAGAGGCAGCCGAGGGTTCGGCAGGACTCAAAATGAGCACCTCGTCCAAGAGTTGGAGCCTGCACTCATGAAAATCCCCCTAAAATCCTCTAAGAGCGCTGGCCCCAAGTCGACGACAAAGGTGCTTACATTGCAGACATGGAGCACGGCAAGGGGGCTTCTCGGCCGGATACAGCCCTGTCCGACAACATTAGCAGAAGTGGCCTTGTGCAACCAGCTACCTTCCAGCTTCATGCGGTTCCCTGTATCAGTTTCAGAACTGGAGCGCCCGAAATGGGCAGTTTCACAACCCGTCGGAGGTTAAGCTCAAATATCCCTTGGGCTTGGCACCTTCGGGCGCCTTCAGCTACCTCGAGAAGCGGGAGGACCCGACAGCAAGTTGGCCCCGGGCTCGGGTGATACAGCCTTGTGGAAGGAATTCAACGTGCTCTCCGTCTTCAAGAGCCCATATGCACTTTTCGGCAACTCGGCAGTGAAAGACTTCGTGACCGGACTTATTCTCAGCATGATGCAATGCTCTCAGTGGTTGCTGCTCATCCATCCATCGAGGTCTCGTCAGCATGGGTGCGATGTTGTTCCTCCCGAGCCTCAGCTGCAGAAGCTGCAGATAAAAAAAGCGTGTTGCGAAGACTGTGGCCTGCATGCGACTGGCCTTGGAACTGAGGAAGCTCCAGTCCATGGTGGAAGAGGAGAAGGACACGTGTCAGACGACATTCTCGTAACGGTGGACACGCTGCATGATGACATATCCAGGAGAGACAGCAGCAAGAGCTGCAACAACCGAAGACCGAGAAAAAAGCACAGAGCTCAGAACCTCACGTTCCGGCGATGTGTTGCAGAGTCCGACGGCTGGCAAGGAAAGTTGAAGATTGATGGAGAGATCGCAGCATTCCGGAGCAGTGTGTCGCTTGAGCGGCCTCCTCTGATCTGGTGTGTGCTGCGTTACCCGTTACCGATGCACTCTTCAGCCTAAGCCTAGACTGCAACGCAGCACGCTTGGTTTTCTCACCAGGGCCTGCTCGCAGTAGTCACGCGGATGGCAGAAATTCTGAGCTTGCGGCTGCAAGCCAATGAAATTCAGGATGATCTGCTAGCATTCCTGAAGCCGGGCAAAGCAGCAGACATGAAGCCCAGCCTTCGGGGCTCTTCATGAGCGCCTCAGACAAGCTGCGCCCTGGTGCAGGGATGAGTCACCTCCCAAAACACGTGGACTTGGGTCCATTCAGCGCTTCTGGTGCAGGCTGACAATCGTTCAAAGACTGATCTTACCCTGCAGCATTCGGAACAACAGAGTGCAGGCAGCATGCGGCAAGTATAGTTATCCTAGTCAAAACACTGCCTTGTCTATGGACGAAAAGTGTCACTTGGAGATGCAGATCGACACTTTGGCGTAAAGACTGCGCCTGGAGGAATGTCTGATGCCAGAACCAGGTGATTGTGTTGTGGACAGTGAGATGAGCAGAAACTCTTACCAGACTACAGGATGGTTCGGTTGGACGCGAGGCAACGTCCCAACACAAGTTGCTTGCTTCAGAGCTCACCCGCAAAGCTGAGAAAAGAAAACAGATCAGTCAGTTGGAATTTGACTTTTTGGTGCGTACGACAACCCGGCCAAACCAAGTCGCCAAAACATGTTGCAGGTCAGAGATGCACGTGATGCATGTCTATCCGGATCGTATGGCCCTTGGGTTGCTCAGAGGTCGAGGCAACTTAACTTATCCAATCGGTTCGAGCAGACACTTGTATCAAGTCAGGTCTGGTGTCACCTTGAAGATGTGGATTGATCGGCGAATCGGCGGTGAGATTGCAGCATGGCGCAAGAACGGAAGGCATCCTCGGTGGTGGTCCGAATTGAAGGGGGCCTTGCTAGAAGCCCTTCTTGTCAGGGGTGATGTGTTAATCGGTCGGCAGCTCAGGAAATTAAAGCAAACAGGCCGGTCGGTCGATCGGATCTTTTGACAGGTCTGCGGGAAGTCTGGGGTGAGGAGGCTGCCGTACTCGCCTCAGTCAGTCGAGGGCACGGCAAGCTATGGCTTGACTGAGCTTCGCAAGGCTGCCAACCGTGAAGAGGCTGGGACACTACGGTTGATTCCTGTTCCACATGCCAACATCACAGAGGTGCTTTTCTGCGTCGACCGTAGTTCGTGGCTCATTGGAATATCGGAATTTCATTGAGACTGTGCTCCGAGACACCCTGATGTACCCATCTTACAGCTGGTAAATAGGCTTAGCTAGCGCTGTGCACAAGAACGTATCAAGTCTCCAGCCCACGGCGTTTTCAGCCATGTCGGACGAGTATCGGTTTCAGGTCATCAATCCTGTAATCGCAAAGGACAGATTTCGAGGAAACTTTGGGATCACTTTACAGCGGTCTTTGTCGCATGGCTTGACTCGTGACCAGGATGACATCGGCAGGGCCAAGCACAGCTGTTCCCCGCAGCATTTCAGGATGTTTCATCTCAATGTCGCAGCACGTCAGATGAAGCTTGCAGCTCTTGCAAGCTCGAGACGCGCCTCTTGTGGGCATAGGCTACACCTTGCCTCCGGACAATCACGCCTACGGGCGCGCCTGCCCTCGGGACCCCCAAGGCTCCACAGTTTGCGAGGGGGGTGCCGGGTGATGATCCCATGTGTGGAGGTGCCAGGGAGGTGCTGAGCGCATGGGTGCCTCATCACCCAACCGCGGCCCCGCAAGACCTGGCACAGGCCCGAGGGGATCCCGAGTGAGATTTTGTCCAGCGCTGCTGTGCTGCAGGATTTCCGCGCAATCAACAAGAGTGCTGCAAAGAAGGGTGTCCGGCATTTGGGTGGCAGTTCCAACGTTTTTTGTTTTAAATCATCTTACCGACGCCACTGTCAGTCTTCCTGTGTGTGCTACGTGCGAAGCAAAGGACTGTGAAGCAAATGACCGCGTTTCGCAAAGCTGTCGACATCAGGCAGGGCTTCGTGGGTTCGTCGGTCCGTGTTGTTTTGGTTTCTGCATACGTTTGGGCCCAGCTAGGCTGCACCCACGGGCCGTTGAAGCTGGTGCCAGACGTGTGCGAGACGCTGTGGACACAAGCGTGGCTTAGCGGCAGCTTTCAGCCTGGTTTGTTGCCACTGGCCTCGATTTCAGAGGCTACTTATGGGCGGGCCAACCTTCCGTCAACACCGATGCAAGATGTGCCAGGCTCCAAGCAATGGTGTTGTGAGCGAAGTCCAAGACTCCAAGAGCAGAAGAGGGCTACAACATGCACGAGCTACTGTAGAAGCTGCTCAGGCTGAAAGGTGCCTTTGCCTCCGAGTTTCAATCGGAGCTTAGCGCACGATACGACGCCTATGCCGAAATCAATGCAGCTTCGCTGCACTTGGGACGTATCACAAGTGACCGTTTCAGCTGGACTGCACCAACAAGGCTTTAGATGCTCCAAACGGGAAGCACCGGATACGCACCACGAAGGCCATCCCACGGCAGTTGTCTGGCAAGATGAAAGGAGACCCACTCTCCGTATTATCCAAGCTTGGTGCGAGACAGTCTTTGAGTCATTTCTCTCCTGTCCTCTACAATCCTTTCTCGTGAGATCGCCACCTTGAAGCCTTGAATCATTGAACTTAAGCACTTCATGGCTTGTCAGCCCCATGGAGTAGAACTACTCGCGTAAACTGTTTACGCGTAGTATCACACCCAGGGCGGCTCGGATGATGTCGGGTGCGCATCTGGCAAAGCTAAGTGGCATTCGCCGAACTCCCCACGCCAGGCGCAGAGTCTTCGTGTTCACAGCGCCCGTCAGAAGACGGTGGATCCCAAGCCTTTGCGGCCGGTGAGGGACCCCTTCAAGCGCGAATCTGAGTTGACAGATCTTGAAGAAGGCTCCATCTCTAGGCAGCCGGCAAGGCTCGTCTCCAACCGCACACAGCTGCAGCCTCTCACTGCTCGGGAGGCGCGTAGGGGGTTGCTTCTTGGGAGGGGGGTGGGGGGGGGGGGGGGNNGGGGGGGGGGGGGGGGGGGCGGTGTTGTGGACCCGCGAGGCGCGACGTGGCTCCGAGCTTGCGGAGCAGCTCGAGGCCGAGAGTGACCCGGTGGGTCCTTGAACAAAAACATCTCTTTACGCAGCTCCGCCGGCTTCGCCGTGAAGAGTTCCTTCCTTCCGTTCCTTCGCCAAAGGCGGTTCGGATTGAGACTGCAGGATTTGTATCGAAGGAGCCGTTTTCAGGCACCGGAGTCTCTGAGTCTTGTCGAGGTTGTACACGCAGGTCTGAGGCGGCATCTGACAACTGATTGCCTAGTTCCAGATCATGCAATAGAACGGCTACCGTTTTGGAAAGGAGAGGCTGAAGAAGGCGCTATCCCTTCCCATGTCGAGTTCGAGCACGCGCTGCGTGAGACCATGAGCAGTTTAGTTCTCCACTGGATACCGCGTGTCCTCCGCATGCTCGCGCTTCTCTGCGCATTCTTTTGAGTCGGAAGTGCAGAGTGCAAAAGTCTTGCTGTCTGCGAAGCGATCATTAGGCCGCAGTGGCGGAGGGCCACACGGCCACACCTTTCTAAGCAGGTCCAACAAGCGAAGGGCGAGTCCGACAAGGCTTCGGCGGCCTCGGCACAAAAAGCGCCAAAGCGACACCTTCCGAATTGGAGGCAAAGCGGCGGAAGATGGACGATGCTCCAGGCCCAGGTCTGCGGCTGAAGAGTCTCTTTTTGTGGACCCTGAAATCCCAAATTCATCGTAGAGTCGTAGAGCATGAAGTGCCACAAAGGCCGAGATCGAAGAGGTGTCGCAAAGGCCAGCGACAAGCATTCGGTTAGTTTGGAATTCTGCACACCCCCTCTCAGAGCCTAGCTTGTCCAGGGTCGGGGGAGATGATACGCCGCAGCTTCGGTCTCAGCTTTCACGTTGTGTCCTCTTGAGATGCTGAGAAATCTGAGAATCTCTTCGACTAATTGAAGTCTCACAGTGGTTGACCTGAACGAAATGCTTGACACAAGTCTTTGTGGTGCCTTTGCCGGTGGGCACAGTGAGCAGAGCGAGTGCGGAGTGTCAAAGCTTGAGCATGCAGAGGTGCGTATCCTGAAGGCACGCCTCGGCATAGCGACGCATGTCACACCAAGGCGGCAGTAAGCGACCGAGAGAGGGTGGGCTTCGGTGAAGGCTAGTGCGAGACTTTGTCGGCGGGGCACAGCCTGTCCCGTTCTGTTTCATGTCTAGAATTTGGAACCTATAGAAATATGTGCCGAATGGGGGGGAGGCTTTCGTTTGAAGGTACGTGCAAGCGAAAGACGAAAGGCGATCTTTGAACCTCAACGATCAACACTGGATCGAAAGACGTGGACGGACGTCTATCGAGGAAATGCGTTCGCCCTCGGACCAGCTCTCCCCACCTTAGTCTTGCACAACTCTGAGTGGAATGGTGAGATTGGAATATATTGGAACCTCGCAGCAGTAGACATCAGTGGCTGTTGTTCCATCGGCAATGCATGCTGGTTTGTCAGCATATGCAGCAAGGGGTTTCCTTATGGAAAATGCATCTTGTCTTGCGGGTTGTTGTCTCTCAAGCAGAGCAGTCGTCCGTGATTCTGACTCGTTCCCAGTGCGACTAGAGCGATGTCGCAAAGCCGGTTCCTCTTCTTGGGCACAGGGAATGCACCATCCAAGTTCTTCGAATCGGCCCTCTGCCGGCTGCAGCCCGTATACAACTTTCACGTGGACGTTTTGCAAAGCAGTGCTGCGTATTCGGCATTGCAAGCGAGACACGGCTACGATGGACTCCTCCTCTACAACTCGAAGGACGGGGCCAGCATCCTCAAGGACCAGCTCGCATCCGAGCGCTTGAGATGGGTGCATTGTTTCACTGCAGGGGTAGATGCCTACCTGCGCGATGCCACCATCAGAAAATCCGATATTCCCATCACCAATGTAAAATCGGCTTACAGGGAGCATCTCGCGCAGTTCGTTGTTTTTGCCGTCCTATTCTTCGCCAAAAAGGCAATGCACTTCCGCACCTCGCAGCGTGCCAAGCTTTGGGCTCCCACATTTGTGGAGGATGTGAAAGAGCAGTCGATCTTGATCGTGGGCTATGGTGACATTGGCACCGCATGTGCGAAGAAGCTGCATGGCTTGGGCATGACAGTAACGGGAGTTAAGTCACGGCCCGAATCTTCCAGCGATGACAGCAGACAATGCGCACAAATTTGCGAGGTTGGTCAACTTGAATCTTTGCTGCCCACGGCTGACTATGTACTGAACCTGTTGCCACTAACCCCGGCTACTCAAGACTTCTTTGATGCCAAGCTGTTCGGCCTGATGAAGTCCAGTGCTGTCTACATGAACTTCGGCCGAGGGCAGACCAACAATGAGCTTGACTTGTTGGCGTCGCTGAAGGCGGGAGAAATTGCTGGTGCGGTCATGGATGTTTTCAAGCAGGAGCCGCTTCCGGCAGACAGCGAGTTCTACTCGCTCGAGAATGTTTTTCTCACGCCGCACTCGGCAGATGACACAAAAAACACACATGACAACGCGGTGCGAGTCTTCGAGCAGGTCCTGCAAAGCTATCTTGCAAGCAAGGAGTCAGGCAAGGCTCTCCTAAATGTAGTGGACAAAGAGCGCGGCTACTAGGAGCAGCGCGGCCACTATCGGCCACTGACAGTGCGGCAGTAAGAGCATGCGCATAGCGAGACCAAAAAGCTCCGTCAGATTGGACAGGCTTTTAGAGGGATGGCATCTTGCTCCTTGCTTGCATGACGATTCCTGGCTGGTAAGGTCCCCATGAGCGCAAGCCCATGATCGCGGGCCGCGGCGGTTTGCCGGAGCCTTGCACAATGGCTCTCTGGTTGCAGTCTGATGTCAGGTGGACAGAAAACCCATGCAGTGTCTGCTCAAGAGGCTCCCCAAAGGGACGGGATGCCTCTTTAGCTGCAAGGGCGCACACCGTCTGAGATGATGTGTTCTGCCAAATCCATTCTCTACGCGCTCTTCTTGCTGCTGGCCTTTCTTCCTTCGAGAGCGATTCGGGATACCTTGGGGGTGTCAGTCGACACCGTTCACGCCTTCTATTCTGCAGACGAGCCGTCGATTGATGGACTTTGTGGCTCCATCCACTCGCTGTTGGTATCAAGCTCTCAGCCGCAGTCTCGTCGTGGATGTGGCAGTGAAGGCCGCATCTATTCCTATCTTTCAGGCTCGTTTTGGCATGGACGGCTCGCTATCAGCGGCGACCACAGAAGGAGCCACCATCCAACTTCACGCGCTGAACGAGGCGAAGATGAACGAGATCTTCAAATACCAAATGAACTACTATCATGAGCGGCCCGGACTGGACAAGTCACTCGAGAAGTATGCTCGCTTGTACATTGACACTTTGCTTCCCGACTCGATTGTGGTCTATCTTGACACGGATGTGGTGATACAGTCGGATGTCTTGGTGTTGGCAGATCGGTTGGCCACAAGTGGAAAAACGATGGCTTTCGTGGTCCGGGACTTAGCATGCTGTAGCCGTAGCCATGCTGCAAGTAATTTTGCATGGCCCCCTCCCCACCCAGTCTTGCTGCACTGCAGTGGAGAGTTGCTGTTGAGGAGCGGGTGCCACGTGCATCTATGGGAGAGTATGTGCATGCGGACAACTTGACCGATTCCGCACTGGCCAAGCTTGGCATCTCTCGCACAGCCCTAGTTGCAGCAGAGAATGCAACAGAGTACAATGCTGGAGTCTTGGTTTTCAACACCAGGCGCTGGCATAGCTTGGGATATCTGGACAAGGTGAAGCATTGGCTCCACATCAACTATGAGCTGCATGGGAAGCTGTTTCGGGGAAATGATCAAACTCTACTCATGCTCAGTTTTGAAGTTTGGCGAAAGCCAGGAGACTTTATAGTGGTGGAAAGGGAGTGGAATGTGGAGGTGCACCACCAACTCACCATCGACAGAGACTTCTTGGCACATGGGGCCAAGATTCTTCATTTCAACGGTGTCCGGAAGCCGTGGCTTCCCAGTGAGGCAGAGGATCCCTTGGCCAAGGAGCTCTTCCGACCCCACTTGCAGAAGTTCCCATCGCTACTCGTAAAGGGAGCTGCTAGAAGCCAGTTGCCGTTGCAGCCGATGCTGGCTGCACTTGTAGCTCTTCTTTGTGCCCTTCTGCTTCTCGCGCTCTCCAAATTCTCGCCCGTTTGGAACAGCATCATGTCGCCCGCGGAGTCCGCCTTGCATGTCAGCTTCTCAGTATGCCGGTTGTCAGGCACAGTCACGACGATGTCGGGGTTGCAGCAGCATCACATCATGCTCAACAGTTCTTCAACAATAACGGTTCAATAACGGAAAGCTGGGAATCCTTCTCGCCAAATCCTGGGGCTGCCAACGGCTCGTCTGTCGTAGCTCTCTTGGAGGTATGTGCCGTCCGTGTGGGAAAGCATCACACTTTCTCTAAAGTTATGGGCTCTGCATGTCAGTAGGAGGGCTGCTTCGGGATTGGATGTTCAAAGTGTTTTTTGCTTGAAATCTTGGACTGTTGCTCTGCAGAGGTTAACTTGCTGGTCTGCTTCCAGGGATTCATGAACTACAGCTCCGTGCATCCCAGCTGAATTGTTGTCATGGAATGTGGTGGGGATCACTCTTCCGTTTGTCTGTGAAGCTTGTGATGTGGCAAACCTGAGGGTGCTCTGCGCGTACCCGTTGTGTCTGTCGCTGAATTTGTCGAATGCCGCTTCAATGTCTGGCCTCCTGATTGGTGTATTCATGGAAGCCAGTGCTGTGGGCATGGGCGTGAGTTGGAAGATCCTGAACGTCTACCCGGACTTGTGGCGAAGGCACATCAAGACCTACCTCGTGGCCGGCCTCTCTTGTCAGTTCTTCGGTGCTCTGGCCTTCTGCAAGGTAGCCATGGCCGTGAAGTATGGCCAAAGTGACAGCACCCTGATTATGACCGTGTTGGCTGCAAGGATCTGTCAAGGCTTTGGTCATGGACTGAATGATCAGTTCATGAAGTGCTGCATCGTCAAACTTGCAGCGGCACATGATCGACCGCGGCACTCACTCAAGAAATTTGTGGCCAACACGCTAGGCATTGTTTGCGGACCCTTCATCATTGCTTTGGCCTATTTCTTCTTCCACGACGATGTGGTGGATGCGGGATTAACGAACGGAGCTCAGATAAGCATGCTGACTGCGCAGTGGCAGCTAACGATGACCGTCACCGTTCTCATCGGCGCCATCCTCCTGTATCCGTCCCTGGAGGACCGACTCCCGAGTTGCCACAGAGTTGCCCCAGAGTCCGAGTCATCGCCTTTTTCGCAGGAGGTCTCCGATTTTGGTAAGGCAAATACCCTTGTCGGAGGTCATCAGACGGCAGTGCTTCTGGCGAGCGGCTTGGCCTCAAGAAGCAGGTTTCCAAACTCCAGGATGTGTGATCTAGGGCCTGCGCCTGCACTTCTCAGCGCCTCGAGGCATTTTCATGGACGCATTGCGCGGGTTCATCACCTCGGGCGTGGAAGCTGCATCCTGTTTGCTTCTACAGGATCGCTTCGCCTGGCGTCAGGATAGCATTGGCTTTTGCATCGGGCTGACATTCTGCTTGGTGGTCCCTGGATACATGCTGCATAAGCAGTACCAGGCACGCTACAGCGACATCGCATGGATTAGGATCTACACCGGCATTGCCATGCTTGCCACCGCTCTGCTAGGCCGGTCGAGCAAAAGAGTTTAACATAATTGCACTGTAACAATTGCAGAGACGTGTAGAAGATGCGGTCGTTGTTGTCACCTGTCCAGGCACTGCAAAGCAGCCGCTGGGCATCCTCGCGGCGGATAGCATCATATTTCCATCGATTTACTTGGCGGGTGCCTTGAACATGGGCATTCTGAATACCAGCGTCTTTCCGGATGGCTCGCTGCTCGATGCCAACAACGTCATGCTCATGAACGGTATAATCTCCAACGGCATCGGCCGTTTTGCAGGGCCCATCTTTTCACGGTCACTTATAGCGCACCTTGGGCAAAAAGCATACGCTTCATGCCAGGCTCTTGCCATTGGCAGCATTCTAGCCGCTTCTGGCATGTTACGTGCACCAATGCACTAAGTGGACCCATAGTGAGCGCTCTCGACGATCGAACGCGCTTGGACAAGAGCCGCTGCAAAATATCACGGCTGCCCGTGGTGAACTGAACGTGCCATTCCGGCAGCTGCATAGGGCATAGGAGAGAATCCCCGCTTCAGAGAGACCATCTTTCTTGTAAAGTTTTTCACACATCCCCTCACACGCCATCGCTGTGCCAAAGACTCGCCGGTAAGCGTGGCAGGTGAGGTCGCCCCGCGAAGAGCTCCGCTTCACTGCTTCGCTGCTTCTTCGCTGCACTCTCTGCACTCTGGTCTTCGCGGGAGTGTTTTCAGCTGTTTACCACCACTTGTGCTTTCCGAATTCTACGTGCGCTGGTGTGGAAGTTCTGTGGGCAGTGCCACTTTTGCTCAGACAGGCCCGCCTGGACTTCTTGAGCGTCGCCCCGTTTTCGCTTTCGCGGTGAAGGATGTGATTTCCGCAATCATCATCCAAAAAGCTGAAACCCCTTCGATGTGCAGTGCCTTTGCTTGGGTGTGTGCTTTTGATAGCCAGCCGTCTGCTGTAAGCAAATGTCTGCACATTGCGTGGGCTTTCGGCTCAAGTTTTTTTCAGCTGAGTCGTGTCAGCAGGTTGTGCCAAGGCAGTCCAAGAACTTCGACAAACAGACAACTATGAGTTTTTGGAAGCTCTCCAGCGTCCTCCAGCGCTGCTGCTCAATTTCTGCAGTCCCTTTTCCAGTCGTCATCAAACAAGGCAACCACATCTCAGACATACCTGAGACATCTTCAAAAAGAGTTGCCTCATGAAAGCTTTGGCGCTGTCGACATGGCGGGGTTGATTTGTGTGAGTTTGGGAGGGTTGTTTCTAGAAAGGAGGTGGACGCGTCAGTTGTGACAAAGATCGGAACCACCAGGCAACCTTCAGCTCGATGCGCTTCGCTCAGAATTCAGCCTTCCCCTCAGATGTCCAGACATTTCTGGCTGGATCTTTCTTGCAACGAGTGACGCGATTCAGGTGCAAGGCTTAACCGGCGTGGCCGGGAGGCATGACGCACCTCCAAGCCTTAGGGAGCCTCTTCCAAGAGCCTATCGCCCCCGAGCTGATCTCCGTGAGCCCCGAGCCCTTGTGGCTTCCAAGCTTGCTCGCAAGGCTCCGAGCCGGGCAGCATTTCACTTCTCTGTTGCTTTTTCCAAATCTTGCCTGTCTGGACTCGAGTGTTTGCATGTTCAGAGAAATGCATGTGCCATGTAATGTAAAGGCCGACCGCTCATGCAGACTCCTACTCTACCTGCGCGCTGCCTGTCGGATGAAACCGAGACACTCCGCCACCTTCCTAAGAATCTAAGAGTGAGGCACAGCCACCTGTGCAGAACTCGGGCTTAAGACTCCGGCGAGAAAACGTCGAGCAACCTTTTTTCTGGCCTAGGGCTGCTTTTTTGCAACTGCATTGAGCGACTACAGAGGTACTTGTAGGATGCATGCAACCGCACCTTTGACACGACACAACGTAGTGTCGCAAACACTTAGACCTGTGTTCAGAAAGCCGGCCGTGACACTGTCCCAGCGTGTGTTGGCGGCTTGGGTCTCTCGGAGGTCGGGCTATGGCAACACTGGTAGTGTTGCTGTCGCCTTTGACACGGGGCCCGTGGACGACATCCAGAGCCCGCCGCAGAAGTTGCTCTCGCAAAGTCCGAGGTGCGGATTTGCGAGGGTGCAAGCCTCGAAGAAGTCAGTGTTGAGCCTCGGTCAGGCAGCCAGCGCCTCCGCTGCTGGCAGAGAAACTGACAAGAGCTTGTCAGGCCTTTCGCTGAAAAGAAGCATCCTGCTTTACAATCCGTCTGGTGCAGGCACGGTCATCTTTGCCCTCGCAATGGCAGCATGTGCAACCAGGGCAAAGACCAACCGAATCCAGTGAGGTCAGGCAAACTCCAATCTGCCATCCCAGCCCGATGCAGCCAAGCCTGAGCCGTCAGGGGCAAGCTCAGACGACTCGGGCAGAGCATTCGCAACAGGCTTCGCAGAGGTCTTGCCAACCCTTCATTGAGTCGGCAAGCGGGACAGTGGACGACATCCAAAGCCCGCCGCGGCAGAAGTTGCCGGCATCCTCGCAAAGTCCGAGGTGTGGGTTTGAGTGTGTTTGAGAAAGAGAAGTTTCTGAGATGCTCCAGCAGGCAGCCAGGGCCCCCGCCACTGGCAGAGACGCTGACGAGAGCTTGTCAGGCCTGCCCTTTGCACACAGGTGTCGGAGTGAACTGCAGCATGTGCAGGCGCGAGCCAATCAGCTGCAGCCTCATTTGCGTCGTATCTGCGAGTGGTGTGGAATCTCATCTGGCCTTTCCTAAGTTCAACGCAGCCGGGAGTCAGGCACAGGCTGTCTTTGGAGCTTTGGGAGTTCCAAGGTGGGAGTTTCCAAATGCGAGGAGGAGGAACCAAGTCCCGGAGCTGGCCACGAGCTGGAAGAGCTTTCAGGCGCGAGCGATGAGAGCGACGAGAGCGAAGAGAGGGGACATGTCAATGTGCGTCGTTGCGAAGCAGCTCTGAAGGCGCAGCCCACGGGAACCGGGCGGGTGCGTATCGACGGCGACCGGAGCGACCGGGCCGCGTCCCCGCGAGACGAATCGCCGGGGTCCGAGCTCAATCCGTTGAGGCAGGTTTCGCCTTCGTGAAGCGCCGATTCCGCATGTTCGCGCCTGAAGCCTCGTGAATGTAGGCCGCCCCAGCGGGACACGTCCTGGACTCCTCATGCCCTCAGCCGCTGCAAGCAAATGCAGCTGGGCCACACTTCTGAGTAAAGGGAATGTAAAGAAGACATCAACGTGAAGCATCTCTCATCATAGTGGTGCAATGACCGCAGCGAAGCTGAATTGCAGAGCCAAGGAGTTCTTCGCGATCTACATCCGGCAGCCAGGGTCGGGCAGCTGATGCAAAGTGGATCTGTCGAGTTTTCAAGCGTCGCCACACCGCAACGCTCTGACCAGGGCAGGTGGCTTCCGTGGCCACTCCGAGTGGCGCAGGCTTGCGCAGGTGTCCATGACTTGAAGACGGCTTTGCAGCAGGGCTGGCCGCGAGTCACTGTCTCCGGAGGATGGACCGGGAGGACGAATCGACAACATTGCTTGGCAGGCACTACGGCTCACTACGGTCAATTAGGGTTGGGATATGAAATAATACAGTGCCTCATCGTTAAGTCTTCGCACTGTTTCCCTAAAGTGCAAGTGTAGATGGTATTGAATGGAAAACGATGACAAGAAAGTCAAGCGATAAGGTCGTTAATCGACGGTGTTTCTCGTTTCAAAGTCCATGCCTAGAGCGACAGTGGGCTCTTTAGCTGCTGAAGATGCTGAAGCTAGAGAACGCTAGCCAACGCATATATGTGGAACATAGAGCCATCCTGTTATCGATCACAAGTCCGAGAGCTCCGAGTCATTGAGGCTCCTATTCAGGTGGTCCAGGGCCGAAAATCGGGTGTGGTAGCCGGGTGTTAAAACGATAACAGAAGAATGACGAAATGTTAACATTTGGTCAACAACATCTGAGTCGAGGTCCATTCTGTGTTTCCGCACGATCATTCCGTTCCAGACACGGTTGTAGGCTGTGGTCGGTGCCCAACGAAGCACTTGCGTGAGTATCACTCCTACCTTTGTGCTATCGTAAGTCTGCCCCCCCACACCAACTACATCCTTGAACCTAGAACAGCTCAGATATCTTGATCAGGACACGATGCTGAACATGCAGTAGGTCACCTGTAACAAGTTCCAACAGAGGTACTAACAGCACGATTACTGCAGATAGATAAAACGATGACAAGAAGCAACAACCGAGACTTGAGATAGTTCCGCTGGCAGCTTGGGAACTGATTCCAGGAAGACCGGCAGCGGCCCTTTTCCAGCGAACGGGGCGAGCATGGTGAACAACCCGATGCAAGCAGGCGCGTGATAGAGACTTGCAGAGAGGGCAGGTAGGTTTGGGGGATGTTTGTTGACATCTTGCAGATGCCGCCAGCAATCATCAGAAACCGGTGTCGGGTGGCCCGTTCGCAGGCATCCAGCCCGGGCCGAACACCGCGTCTGCACCCGACAGCAGCGATGCTTACGCGAGGTGCCGGGGTGTTGAGCACACGTCAGCGCATGTTGTGCTAATTGCAGAGATGTCAACTTAGCCAGCTGCACAAAGTGCATTCCATGAGTTTTCAGGCAAGCCTGCGGCGGTGTTGAACTGCCGCCCCTCGGTGCGAATCACTTTGTTGCAAAGCTGAAGAGATGTGTTGATCATATCGGAAAGACCGTGAAGAGCATCAGTGGGCCGTTCAGTGGTTCTCAGGAAGACCGGCAGTGGCCCTTTTCCAGCGAACGGGGCGAGCATGGTGAACAACCCGATGCGTGCAGGCGCGAGACAGAGACTTGCAGAGAGGGCAGGTAGGTTTGGGGATGTTTGTTGACAGCTTGCAGCAGTCGCCGCAAGCAATCGTTAGCAACCGGTGTCGCGTGGCGCGTGCGCAGGAATCCAGCCCGGGCCGAACGCCTCGTTTGCACCCGGCTGCAGCGATGCTTACGCGAGGTGCCGGGGTGTTGAGCACACATCAGCGCATGTTGTGCTAATTGCAGAGTTGTCAACTTAGCCAGCCGCACAAAGTGCATTCCATGAGTTTTGAGGCAAGCCTGCGGCGGTGTTGAATTGCCGCCCCTCGGTGCGAATCACTTTGTTGCAAAGCCGAAGAGACGTGTCGATCATATCGGAAAGACCGTGAAGAGCATCTGTGAGCTGTTCAGTGGCACGTCTCAGGAAGACCGGCAGTGGCCCTTTTCCAGCGAACGGGGCGAGCACGGTGAACAACCCGATGCATGCAGGCGCGTGACAGAGACTTGCATAGAGGGCAGGTGTTGACAGCTTGCAGCAGTCGCCGCCACATGCCAGCAATCATCAGAAACCGGTGTCGCGTGGTCGTGCGCAGGAATCCAGCCCGGGCCGAACACCTCGTTTGCACCCGGCTGCAGCGATGCTTACGCGAGGTGCCGGGGTGTTGAGCACACGTCAGCGCATGTTGTGCTAAATAGAGAGTTGTCAACTTAGCCGGCCGCACAGAGTGCATTCCATGAGTTTTCAGGCAAGCCTGCGGCGGTGTTGAATTGCCGCCCCTCGGTGCGAATCACTTTGTTGCAAAGCCGAAGAGATGTGTTGATCATATCGGAAAGACCGTGAAGAGCATCTGTGAGCATATCAGTGGTTCTCAGGAAGACCGGCAGTGGCCCTTTTCCAGCGAATGGGGCGAGCATGGTGAACAACCCGATGCATGCAGGCGCGAGACAGAGACTTGCAGAGAGGGCAGGTAGGTTTGGGGATGTTTGTTGACAGCTTGCAGCAGTCGCCGCAAGCAATCGTTAGCAACCGGTGTCGCGTGGCGCGTGCGCAGGAATCCAGCCCGGGCCGAACACCTCGTTTGCACCCGGCTGCAGCGATGCTTACGCGAGGTGCCGGGGTGTTGAGCACACGTCAGCGCATGTTGTGCTAAATAGAGAGTTGTCAACTTAGCCGGCCGCACAGAGTGCATTCCATGAGTTTTCAGGCAAGCCTGCGGCGGTGTTGAATTGCCGCCCCTCGGTGCGAATCACTTTGTTGCAAAGCCGAAGAGATGTGTCGATCATACCGGAAAGACCGTGAAGAGCATCTGTGAGCATTTCAGTGGTCCGTGTCAGGAAGACCGGCAGTGGCCCTTTTCCAGCGAACGGGGCGAGCATGGTGAACAACCCGATGCATGCAGGTGCGTGACAGAGACTTGCAGAGAGGGCAGGTAGGTTTGGGGATGTTTGTTGACAGCTTGCAGCAGTCGCCGCAAGCAATCGTCAGCAACCGGTGTCGCGTGGCGCGTGCGCAGGCTTCCAGCCCGGGCCGAACACCTCGTTTGCACCCGGCAGCAGCGATGCTTACGCGAGGTGCCGGGGTTCTGATTACGTTCTGTCTTTCGAACTGTATGTTTATCAGTTGGCTCTGCAGTGTGCTACATGGTGCTTTGGAGAAGCCCCGGTTTTTCTGGTTTGGGCGGGGTGCTTCAGCCAGTCAGTGTAGCATACTCGTAGCCTTCCGGGAAAGCAGTCAGTCGCAGGCGCAGCCCTTTCGATCCGAAGAAATCTTGAGCAAGTGTCCCATTTCCTTTTGGGAGGGGTAGCGATCGTTCTGAGGCCGGCCTGGGCCTGTGGTGTGGGCGGCCCGCTTCCGCCTCTTGGCAGAATCCTGTGTGGCGCGAGGCTCTGCGAACACCAGGTATGACACGCAGCAGTGCGACGTGCAGAGCCTGAAATCCAAAGGCTAAGCCAAGGCGTATCAAGTGCCGCAGTGGTTCGCATAGTGTGCCCGGCACCAAAACTGATGAGTTTCGCCCTCAATGCCAATATCAGCTAGCGAGAGGCCCTTGTACAGCAAACGCTGTACATCAATGAACACTGCAGTAGAACACGCCTGGCAATGGCATGCTGGGTCGCCAACGTCAAACCGCCGCCAACTGGCTTCCTCCACTTTCCCATGGAAGGACATGGGAAACGGCAATCCACGGCATCAACCCCCCAAAAACATAACAGTCAACTCCAGCCATGTAACATTGCACGACAGAGCAAGTGAAACCACAAGGCACATCAGTGCGTGCTACAATGGCCGAAGCTCCACTCACGTACTGCAGAACAGTGTCCGAGGCGATTAAGTCTTCGTCCGCATTCCCCTTGCACGCTGATCCACAAGCCCGCAGGACTGCTCTCATGTCTTCATGGTACGCCAGGGCCTGTTGGTGAATGGCCGAAAACGCCTGCGAAGAATTAAGGTTTGCCTAAACAACTGCGATGTCGGCGTGATCATTCCAATGAGCCAGCTATTCTTCCATAGGAATCTCACATGCACATGCATCTAGACGGGAATGCGTAAACAGAATCTGGACCCCGCGGTCACCAAGTCCTTCAACATGCGCTGCCACAGGTCCCTGTTCTCCCAGCCATCGACAATCAAACCGCCCCGGAACAGATGCTGCATAGTTTCAACCACATCCAGTGTCACCGTATAGGCCTGTTCTCGCGCAAGCACAGCGGGAAGCATGGCATGCAGCTCTGCGCGAGGTGCCTTCTGCCAAATTCCAGGCAACCCCGACCCCGAACCACCCCTTAACGAGCCAAAGCCAGTCCGGGAATCCCAGAATGAACACTTGACGTGTCAGCAAACTCCTGCCGAACACCTGGCACAGAATGCAAAGAGTGATGTGTTGCGATGTCCAGTCAGGCAAACCATGCAATGTGCTGCGAAGGGCAGTGCCACAGGACCACAGGGATTAGCAGATTAGCAGGAACCAACACATGCTGAGTCAAGCAATCAAGAAGTGGTTCACATGACCATCGGAGGGGCTCGCGCTCCAGCGAGTAAGTGAGACAATGGCGTAGGCGGTGGCGAGCATCATCAACGACTCAACAACTGTCACAAACGCCTGCCTGCAAATTGGTTGGATTGTGCGTGACCATCACAACAGCTCCAGGCTGCAGAGCTGTCTGTCTTCGGTCAGCAACAGAATGAGTTTGTCCTAAGCTCAACAGGGCTGGACATCTCTTACCTGCGGCACACACGTTTGGGATGAAAGGTCATTGCAGAAGCACTGCGTGGACCCCTAGTTCGCGGTCAGGACTCTCAAGAAAAGCCCGCACAGTGAGCGGCTGCGTGATGGGTACATATGACTACCGGTTGATAACGCGGCACTGTGGAAAGGATGAGGTCCAAGTCGCAACGACAGCCCTGAAGGGCCGAAATCACCGAGTGCCATGATCCCTCAAAAGCCAAACCTAATTGATACCAATAGACCGAGGGGCGCTGCTCCTGGTCATGCCGCCGTTCCGGGAACGGTGCCAACTGCAGGCCGGCACAAAAGCAACAAGCTTTCGGACTCTCGGACTTCGCTGCATCCGCAGGTTGCCCATCGACTCGTGCTGGCGCTGACAGGATGGGGATAACATCGGCATCCAGTCTTTGTGTTAGTGTTCTGATTCTGATTTTGTCACCTTGCTCGGCTTCAGGAGTGCCGTACCGCCTTCGGCCATCTCCCAGCCGAGCACAGCCCAGCCGGCAGGCCGGAGGCGTCTCATTGCCGAATGACACGCTCGGCTCTTTGAACTCCGCAGGGCCCCAGCCGAAAGCCTCCACTCCTACAAGGCAGGGCGCCGGGAGCGGGGTCCTTGTAATAAGGATCCTACTATTTAGGGTACTATAAGGGTACCTTATTTTGGGGTGAGCATCAAAAGCAAACCAGCCCTGTGAGCTTGCAGGCAGATGTACACGGGGGTCCATGTTCAGCCCCTTGGTAACATTGAGCGGAGCGTCGGGAGGCAACACGAGCACCAGCTTTTCTTGGCAAGGGTTCTTTCTTTTCTGTGGCCCTAGGCTGGAGCTCTGTCCTCTCTGGTCATCGTTGCTCTTCGTGGCCAAGTGTCCACGCTGGCCGCCCGCCCTGCTAGCCGAGGCCCATATCTCAGAGTTGGAAGCTTCAAGCCCTTGGGTCCAACACTTCGTCACCTCGCCCTTAGTGGACCAGTGGCAGGTCACGTCTTGGCCCAGTGCCCAGAAGAGAGAGGGCGAGATGGGCGAGGAGGTTGCGCTGGCCGGACTTGATTCTTTCGTTCAAGCAGAGCGGCCGAAACGAAAGGAGGTCTCCTTCAGTGGGGCCCACTACAAGAGCACCCTGGAGCGATTCGAGGCCTGGCGGCTGCTTTGAGATGTTTGCAACCTTGAGTTTTAGCATTGGGGCTTGAGTGGCTCTCTGAAGATGGCGAGTGGTGCAGCACGAGGCTCGAGCCACTCAAACCCTCGACTTCGCTATGGGAGCATGTCGAGCAGTTTGAGTGGAAGCTCAGCTTCCCCCACTCCTTGTCGCCATGGTCGGCGGGTGCAGCATGTGCCCCGGTCCAAAGCCAGGATGGAGAGCCTTGCAACTTCTTTCCTTGCTACACAGTGGTCGGGCTGTCGTGCTGCTTGCAGTGGCTGCAGGTGCAGCGCAAGGATTGGGCCGGTGCTCTGCAGAGGCTGGCGGAGACGCTGGGCAGCAAGGTGAGCCTGAGCTCAGGAGAGCTCAGCTCTCGATGTGACCGAGGATGTGGGACTTCAACCTCTCGCCGAGTGCTATTGCCTACACGCAATGCATCAGCTGCTGTGCAAAAGCAGGCTTTGGAGGGGATGCAAAGTGCCAGGGTATGCCAGGGTTTAAGTGCTCTGCATTGTGGCTCAGGCAAGCTGACGATGGCTCTTCATCTTCTGCGTGAGTTGCGGGCGACACCTGGGGTCGAAACAGATGCAGGGAACTTGGACTCAGAGGGCCCTGAATGCAGTACCAGGCTACCGGGAAGTGACAAAGCTGTTCAAGCTGCCCTGTCCACAACACTTTACAGCAGTCAATCATAGGATCCGACATCGATGGATGTGTCAGGTCGTGGCTGTGAATGCCGGTCTGAGGGCCTGCGCACTGCGGGGTGCCTGGCGAGAAGCGCCGGAGCCTCGGTAATTGGCATACCCTTGCACGTGAGGGCTACCCAGGGTCGAAGCAGCGCAGGTTCCACTTAGCAAGAACGGTGCCCTGCATGACTTTGCTGCCCTCTGTGGTGACCTGGTCGTCCACGATCAGCGCCTGCGAGAAAGGTGCCGCATGCTCCTACCTGGCTGTGGCTTTTCTTGACTCTTGGTCTTAGTCTCACAGGTGGCAACAATTGGCCTGCAGTCTTCAACATTTTCAAAGTTATGCGCCAGCAGCAGCCTCAGGGGGTGACCTCCGGAAGAGGGTGGAGTCAAGAAAGCAGTGAAGCCCAGATGCATCATCCGCCCCAACACCATCACCTTGAACGCCGGAATCTCCTCATGTCGAAACTGTTGGTCGCAAGCGCTCTTCTTGGCCGCCCGGCAGTGTCAGCGACACAAAGGGATCAAAACAGCGGCACTTGATTCATCGGAGAACCCTTGAAGTAGAGTGGAGAGGAAGCCGCGACCAAGCTTTAGGCAGCCACCGAAGGGCCCTTGGCCGCAGAGACGCAAAGAGACCTCCTCAGTTACTCGGCGGCCATCTCCGGCTGTGAGCGTGGGGGCCAGCATGGGGCCCGGTTGGTGCCCGGCAGTCATATTTGTTGAGGGTGTCGGAACGGTTCCGCAGCTGCTGAGGTGGTCTCAGGCTCTCATGCTTTTGCAAGCCGTCTCGAAGAGGAGCTTGCGAAGAGACGCTGCTCGACCGTTTTTGTGCACATTATGCTCCCCTTCTCGGTTGATGGGACGCGAAGGTTCCGTTCTTCTCATCGGCGGTCAGTGCCTGTGAGAAGGGCATGCAGTGGTTGACGACTCTCCAGCTTCTCGACATTCTAGAGGACAGCTGACGTGAGACGAGTGACGGGCAGTGGGCGAAAGGTGCGTGAGCTCATGTGTTTGCCTTCTGGCAGTGAAGGCACAGCAGCTGGTTCCAGACGTGGTGGTGATCGGAGCTTGTGCCCTGACGCAAAAAAGAAAGGAGAGCCCTTTCACGGCCTCAGCCTTCCTTAGCTCCACTTTCGAAAAGCCGTTCGCCTTCCCCGAGGCCAGAGCCAATACTTGTGGACCTCGGCTCTCCAGCTGCTCGAGGACGCGGGGTCACGCGGGCGAGAGAGGGCCCCCTAAACCCTAAAGGCCCTAAACCCTAAACTTAAGAAAAAAAGCCTAAACCCTAAAGGCCTAAAGGCCCCCTTTAATCCAAGGGCGGGGCCTTTCTCTCTTCGCCAGGAGCTCCCCGGCCGCTCCTTGCTTCCCAGCCTGGTCTTCTGCAACGCAGCGCTGAGCGCCTGCGCGCCTCGCTGGCGCTGGGCCCTGCAGGTCCTTTCGGCTCTGATCCTTGGACGGAGGATGGCGAACCGATTGGGCATATATATTTCACTGTCCGATGCGCCTGTGAACCCTGACCGTGACGAGGGGCGCATGTGCTCATCGGCCCGATCAGCACACTTTCGTGGCGGCCATTGATGCCTGCGAACGCGGAGGACGCTGGCAGCTGGCCTTGGATCTGAGCTCAGCGTGAAGTTCCCATTCGAGCCTTTGTGGCTCGCTTCTGCGAGCGATGCTTTCTGCTGAGGACCTGCTGCAACGTCTGGTCAGCTCACGCTTGGAGCTGAATGTTGCTTTGATTGCAACTGGAGGTGATGTCACGCCTGTACAGGCCTTGATAGAGCTGCATGAGGCCTATCCCTTCAATGGGGTATCTTCTGCTCTTTGCAGCTCCGGTCGCTGGGAGCTTGCTCTGGAGCTGATCTCGTTGATGTTAAGGCAGTCCGTGACAAATTGGAACCCAGCACGCGTTAACACTCGTCGACATGAAAACTCCGAACTCGTAGCTGTCCCAGCCACTGTTCCTGAAGCAGGCAGGCACTACGAACAACTCATGTTCAACATGTTGCTGTTCATCTTCTTGCCTGCAGCTGTGGGCACGCCGGTCAAGCACTGTGTCAATTGGCGCCGACCTTACTTTCAGCGTCAACTTCGTGGAAAAGCCGACATGATCAGATGCGGTTATCGGTTCATGCCATGCCACTGCAGCTGAGGATGAGCTCTCCAACGGCAGTTTCAGTCATTTGAGAGCGCTTGCATGTGTCGGGAGTGCAGAGATCAAAGCTTGGCTTGCGCTTCTGGCATCTTCTGCGGTTCATGGTGTCATGGTTTGGCTCATGCTTCGGCAGAGAGGCACTTTCTTCGAAGGGACTGCAGCTCTCGGCCCTTCCATCCTGGGCATGCGCTGTCCGTGTCCTGGGAACTTCTTGAGACCGTTTGCAAATTCCGCAAGTTCCTTCTGTGGTGCCTTGGCCACGTGACAGTGAGGTGGTGGGCTTCGAGAAGCCTGGAGCACCTGTGTGTGGTGGGCTCTCAGCCTGCGAAGCACGCGCCAAGGCACGGAAGAATGAGCCATGCGAATCCTAACACCCCTGAATCCTTACATATCTTATACATATATATATATACACATCAGACACACACACACATATATATATATACATGTATGTATACACACACACATATATATATACATACATACATACATACATACATACATACATACATACATACATTGCACACATCTCACAGATCTCCTGGCAGCTCCCCAGGTGGCGGGGTTCCTGGAGTCTCTGCCGCAGGCGCCGAAGCTCTGCTCAGATCTGTGCTTCTTTCGCTTCGGCCTCGGCGACTCAGGGCTCCTCCGTGCTCCCCTACCAACGCGCTGGGGCCCCCAGTTTTCAAAACAGACCCTCTTTTTGAAGACTCCGACAAAAAAGAGGGCCAAGACTCGGTTCCAAGGAGTCGGTGGAGTTCGGCCTGCAACGCGGCGGCCGCGTCCTGCTGGGGGATGAGATGGGCCTCGGGAAGACGCTGCAGGCCCCTTCGAAGCAAAGGACTTCTAGACTTTTAAACATCTTTCTTACATTGAGGGCTTTTAAATAAACACCCCAAAAAGGGTTTTATGAAAAGCCTCTTTGAAAGGGTCCCTGCCTATGGAGGCTTTGCTCCTGGCGGCCCAGTACGAGGCCAGACGGCCGAGCTCTGTCCATGACATGATCAATCCTCGCCAATGCCTCTGCGACACTTGTCGTCTCCATCATTGGATCGTCGTCATCGCTTTCTAAACCGTGATCATGGAGGTAATCCTTTCGGTCCTGCCGATCGGGGGGTCGGTTTGTTCTTGCTAAGGGAGTGCAGGTGCCGGTGGTGGCCTGCGGTAGTAGAGCCTGGCGGCAAGAGAAGACGGCAGGGATGGGAGTAGAGTCTCTGATCCCCTCAGGCCGAGTGGCCCTTACTGGTGGTGGCTCCGTCCTCCTTGCGCTTCGTTTGGCGTGAGCAGGCCTGCACCATTCAAAAGTGGCAAAGCCCCTTGATTGGGGGGGGGAGAGCTTGGCACCTTTGTGCCTAGGCCGCGCAGTGGCTGCCCCATCTTGTGGGTGCAGACGGCGGCCAAGTGCAGGTGATCAGGAGCTCCTGCACCTTGAGCCGCTGATGTGTGATAGTTCATAGTCTCTGACCGCACCAGCTTTTGTGGCAGGACCGGGAAGGACAAAGTCAACAAGTGTGCTCGCGTAGTTGCGTGGAGCTCGGGCCAACGGGAAGAGAGACGCTACACCGCTACATATGACAACCCCGGCGATTACATGTCAGCCCACTTGGTATAAGCATACTGGTGTAATGATTAAGTAAGGCTGTACATCGTGACTAGCGCTGTATCTCAGAATGTCCAGTTGCTCACCATAGGCAAGGGCCAGCCCGAACGCGGTTACACGAAACATGTATGAGTGTAGGTGTGTGTAGAATATGTAGATAGATAGAGATAGAGATAGAGATAGAGATAGAGATAGAGATAGAGATAGAGATATAGATAAAGATAAAGATATAGATAGATATAGAGATATAGATATAGATTTAGATATAGATATAGATATATAAATACATAGATAAACAGATAGATAGATAAATAGATAGATATATGGCTAGATATAGATCTAGGTAGTAGATATGGATAGATATAGATATAGATATAGATAGAGATAGAGATAGATAGTTACAGAGATAGATATAAATATAGAGATAGATACAGATAGATACAGATAGATATAGATAGATATAGATAGATATAGATAGATACAGATAGATATAGATAGATATAGATCTAGACCTAGATATAGATCTAGATATAGATATAGATATACATATAGATAGATAGATAGATCGATCGACAGATATAGCTTCGCCGCCGTCCACCTAGCCTTGCCGCAGAGCAGCACTGTGACAACCCGGTAATGCAAACAGGAGAAGGCAAATTGGACAGAAAACTGGACCGGCAGGGGATGGGGCAAAAATGCTTGGGATGCAGGGGGCACGGGGGCGGAGGTCGAAATTGCGGGCCAAAAACCGGTGTCACTGAAGTTTCGGAGGATTACTGAGTTACCACGAAGCCTGAGGCCTGTGGCCTCAGCGGATACAAGACTCATTAATGCATGTGCCTTTGTATGTAAGCCCAGATAGTGCTAGACAGTGCTTGGACAGTTACATTTTGTATGTTTGTTCTTTGGGTGGGAGCTGTTCATGTGATTATTCTATATGTGAGTACTGGTGTTTTATTGTCGCAGTATTGCACACTGTTGTGATGTAGTTAGCCCCCACATCTTCCCTCAGCACTGTTTCGGAGAGACTTTGTTCTCAAACATCCCAGGTCACAACTTACGATCTGCTGCGGCGGAGCGAGTCCTTGCGACGCCGTGCCGATGGAGACACGCTCAGTCTGCCAAGCGGCGTGTTGTTTTTAGCTGTCCATGGTTTCCGGGAGATCTTTGCTCCTGCGAAGTTCGCCGGCCAATCGGCGTCTGATTCAAGCTGGAGTGCCTTCCTCGAGGTCGTGACTATCTTGCAGTCATCGTGGACGAGTCGCAAAACATCAAGGTGTCGGCCACATGGATGCATCACGAAATGGCAAAGGATAATAGTGGACTGCTAGGAAGCAAGCAGCCAAAGAACAAAAGTGGTGGTTCGAGCCTCAGCTTCCGGCGAGTACTGCAGGCGCTTGAGAGAGATGCCGTTCTGTCTCCGAGCTCAGGTCGGGATTTGCAAGGCAGCGCGCCGTGTTCTTCTACTAAGTTTGCTGCTCAACTGGCTGTGAAGAACCACGTGGTTGTGCTAGAAGTTTGTGCTTTAGAAGACGGCACTCGACAACACATGTGGGAAAGCCATCTCGGTGCACCGCAGCGACCACGACGCATGAGGCGGCACACCAGCTGTGAATCGAGCGGCCGAGCTCTACACGCAGCTCGAGGCAGACCTGCATCGAGAGGGACATGAGCAGCCGCTGCTGTTGCGGCGTTTTTTTTCTGAAGGCGCTTCTCCCTGCAGAGATGCCCAGTTTTGCGCAGTTTGCAGAGCGCTTCTGCTACAAGCAGCAGGGATCTGAGCTGTTGCTGTCGCTTGCGTCACGCAAGAGATGCGGTTCGTTTCCCTGAGTGGATCCGGACCAGGGCACACGTTGTCATCTCCATTTCGAATACTGGTGCACCAGCGCCATACAGACTCGCACAGATTATTTCTCGTTCTAAGGACGCAGAACTTCGGTGGGCGCCGTACGATCAAGTGGATCGGCGTGCAGCGTCCAGCAGAGTTGCATTGTGAGAGCCTTGCAGGAATCCGCGGACATTACTGGTTTGTAGCTGTAAGTTCTGTTGCAAGTTTGAAAAGCTGGCTGTGAGTGGCATCAAAGGTCTGCTGAACACTGTGATGAAGAGGCAGTCCCAGCATCAGAAACTTCAACTGTGTTCGAACAGTGTTCGGCGTGCTGCCATCTGACGACAGAGTTGCCATGAGTTAGTAGTGTTGCTGCACACGGTAGAGCCTACATCTGCGCGGCTGTCCAGGCGCCTGAAGAGTCAGGTTCTGCAGCAGCTTGGGCCCGGGCTTTTCATGATGACAAGGTGTTTCGTGAAGGTAGGAGTGCCTGGCATCCAGCTGCAGAAGCGAAGCCCGTTTTTGCTTTAGTGCTCGATGCCAAGCTTAGGCTTCCAGAGAAACGGCGCATGCGAGTGCCCTTGGACCCTGAGAAGATGAGCCAGGCCAGAAAGAAGGCAGAAAAACGGTCTTGCACTCACTGCTCTACGCCTTCCCTTCAGGAGAAACTTCGTGATGTGGAAAGGCCTGCTCTCGATTTTCTGACATCATTGCATCTGATGGGCACGAAAGTGTACTGGCATGAAGGCTGCAGCACGGCTGCAGCACGTCGTCATCACCATCATCATCACCATCACGCCAGTTACGGCAACAGAACAGCAGATTAACGAAGCAATGCATGGCCCGCTACAAACTGCAAGCTTGTTTCTGTGCTTGCCGCATCAACCGCCTAGCAGCAACAATACTTCCAACGGGGAAGTCGGAGCAACAAGCGGAGTCAACGCACAAGAACCTGAAGAACAGCAGCAGCTGCAGTGTTTCCAGTACAGTATAGCCATACAGCAATGCTGATAAAACCGAAATTCCGAGACTCTGCCAGACTAATCGTAGCTGAAGCCGAGCGCAGGCGAACTCGACAAATGGGAAACGTCGACTTCAACTCGGGGAAGGCGACGCCCGAGCTCCGAACTCCCCGGCGAGAACAACCCCCTTGAAAAACTTCTGAGTCGTCCAATGAGTCCAATGGCTCCAGGCTCTGGGAGACACTGCGCAGCTCTTCCGAGACACCGCCGAGGCACTCGACTTCTCTTGGCCCTGCTGTGCCGCCAAGTCTTGGCCCTGCTGTGGGGTGAGCAGACGAACTGCCAGGCCAAGTTGGCGGCGGTCCTCGACTACGCTAGAACCTCAGGTGTCACACGTCCGGTGTTGTGGCTCGTTGCAGTAGTGCTGCCAGAAAGCTCTTGCGGAACCCAAGGTTGAACACTTGCTGAGTCTGGAGACGAAATTCCTGATCTTTGGTCATTATCTTACTATGCACTGCAGAAGGGGCAGGAAGTTGGCTTACCGCTTGTCGTGTGCTCCAGGTCACCATCGTCTGGTACTGGATGCAAGTGGCCCAGTGCGACATGCTTTGTGGGTTTGCTGAACAAGCTCTGAACACCACAGTCTATGATCACCAAGCGCAGCTTCAGCAGTCTTTCGAAAGCTATGGCAGCATCGAGCGGATCACGAGCACAAGCTAAGCCAAGCAAGAGGCCAGGGCTCCTGGTTTGCTTCTTGTGCCCGGCCGTGGTAAGGCGCTTGAAGAAAAGCTGAAGCGGGCAAAATTTGGGTACATCAGTGCCTGGGCTTTGCAAAACGCTCACGTGTGGTGTTTCGAGTGACTTACATGAGCGCGACTGCCGTGCTAGCCCCTACCAGGAATTGATGGCCAAACGCCGCTTTGGCTGAAGTTGCAGAAGTGCGGTGCGACAATCTCCGAAAGACTGCAGCGCAGCATACCCCTTCCCGTTGAAGCTTTCTTGTTGCGGGGGGCACCGCTACGCGCCGTAGATGGCAGGGGTGCGTCGGAACGGCCAAAGCTCGTCAGCCGATTCCAGGAGGCACCGTGAGCGTGGATGGAACCTGCTTTACAGAGCTTTTTGTGTTATGGTCGGGTCCCCTCCTGCTTTCCTCTCATAACGAGTCTCGACGAGGATGAGTCTGTCCGTGTTGCAGTGCTGAGCATCACCGCGGCGGGAACTGGGCTGACACTTACGGAATCGACCTCAACGTGATTTTCGTTTTGAGCCCTGTGTGAGATGCCTGCACAACATTCCAGCAGGATACTGTTCTCAGAACTCGACCCAGAGGCTGCGCAGACCGTCGTCTTCGCCGAGCTCTACTGGGTGCGCCACGGCGAAACTGGGCAACAACCTCTCCACCAATTCCAAGTCTGCCAGGTACCTGGGCAGATGCATCAAGCGGAAGATCGAGCGCATCGGATCGGCCAGCGGGACTGCGTCTCTGCCCGCAGCTTTACATCGCAGCTTCTCGAGCCATGGCGCGAATCGTCCATAGTCAGTGCAAGCAAGGTCCACTACCTCATTGCGAAGGACACATTGGACGAAGTTCTCTACAGAACTCTAGAGAAGAAAACCGTCAGCCAGATGCTGAGGACGCACAATGACACAGACAGACAGACACACACACACACAAACAAACAAACACACACACACACACACACACGTACGTACACACGTATCTGCGCAGCCTGCCCGAGGCACCACCAGAATCCTGAATGGGCATGGTTCTGGCCTGGACATGCTGCCGTTTTCTCAGAGTCTTGCTAGTAAAGGCTATTTGTGTAGGAGATGCTCTTGCGGCTCCGAGGCAGCATTCGCCGGAATGCGATGGCAGCTTAAAGCGTGCTAAGCCCAGCCCATGGTGTTTGGGCGCGCTTGCCGGCCAATGCCAGAAACCCTGCCCAGGCAAGGTGGACAGCAATCCGGATACAGCAAAAGCAGAGCAGCCGGAGAAGTGCCGGCGCAGCGATGCAGGGTCCTGAGCAATTGCAAGTAATTGTCATGGGCTTTCCGTTCAATATACGTGCCAGCGCTGTAAAAGCGCTGCAGGCTCTTCGCACTCCCGGCTGCTGACCCGAAGAACCGCACAGCAGGTGGCGGTGGTTTGTCCCGCTGAAAGGAAGCTGAAAGCCAAACCAGTTAAGTCGGCCAGCAAATGACATGAACTATGATTATTGCAATTATGATGCTATACGCCCAATCTCGTGAGAGCTTCCTCAGCGTGATGAAACCATTCGTGAGCACCTAAACCGAGTTTTTTTGCAACGTTCCGCATACTTGTGCTGATCCTTTGTTTCGGCACAGAGGGCCGGTTGCATTGGGGTTAATGCGCCAAAAAGTGAGACGATGGAATTTCCAGATTTTGAGTCGGTCTTTCCCTTTCTTCTCTCTGAGCAACCGCCTCAGGGCTCGAAGCAACCAGAAGACTCTGATGGATGTGACTGTTTCGAGGTGCTTCATTGAAGCCTAGTGCAGCCAACCCTTGCTTCAAGCTTCGGCTGTCGTGAGCCATAGTGGGGCACTACATGATGGAATGAGCCTTCCAGCATGCAGCCACATGCCGGCCCTGCAGAGGCTGAGGCACCTGTCCAACCGAGATATGTCTCTGCAGAGACGGCAGAGGGTGGACTCAGGTGGTGACCGTTGCGGGTGTCGGATCTCTGGTTTCGGAGGCAAGCCCGAGGGCGTGCTGCCGGGCTTCACCTTGTAGCAACCCGCAGGCTTCCGCGCGAGAATCCTTCGACTTCTCCAACTTTCGCGTTGGCGAGGTAGACTCCCTGTCGTCGAGCTTCGCAGCGCACCCTCGGTTCTTGCGAGCCTTCGTTTGAGGTGCGAGGATGGCGGCGCTCCTTTTGCCAGTCGAATTGGGTGAATGTGGCGCCTTGGGCTAAGCGACGTGGAAGAGGCGAAGCTTTCCGTCCACCGCACGGTTTGGGCACTAGCGGCTGCTAGCGGCTACGTCTCAGGTCCGGGGGTGTGTCTTTGGAGAGCAACGAAGTGGCAGCACTCGCCATGGAGCCTCAGCTGCGAAAGTGCACTGTGCAACAGCGGAGGTATGCGGAGCTGTTTGGGGGTCTCTGACCTGGAGTGCGAGATGTTGCGAATTGTTGCGAGATGATGCGAGGTGCCAGCCGCTGACTACGTCAGTCGCACAGCTGCAAGGATGCAGAGTCTGCCAAGTGAAGCGGAGAGACCTACAATAGGCCATGTGGCGCTCCTGGATGTGGTGCCGTCGGAGCTGCCAGGTCTCAGCTGCACCACTTCGAGATGTCTTGCGGAATGCCTCGCATTTGCGGCCAGGCTTCTACGAAAGAGAAGCCGGTCCGTCGGGCGTGTTTTTCCATGCGGTCACGGCTGTGACCCCAAAGGAGCAGACATGTGACGCCGATGAACAGGATACAGAATCTTGTGGGTGCCTTTTTCTGTGAAGGGCTGGCAGCTCGGTTGTTCGCTTTTGAGGGCCTCCTAGACTGACGCGACGGGCCCTGCTCGAGGCCAAGATGGCTCCGTCATCGAAGAGGGACAGGCATTGATGTGTCGACGCCTTGGTCTTCGAGACCGTTTGCCCATCGATGCATCATGCTGACTTCATCGGCCAGGGGCCCGTGCCGTGAGGGTCGTCAGAAACTTCATCTTTACACAACCCGAACTTCAGGTGAAGCGGCCGCCGTGAGAGCTCGCTGGTTAAGCGAAACGTATAAGCCGGAAAGCAGTAGGCTCCGGCAGCTATTGCGAGCCCCTTCTAGCAACCTAAGCCCGTTTCTGTGGTAGTCCTCAATCTGTTGCCGAGCGGCAAGCTGTCATGAGGTGCCGCTTGTGACGACGATGCCGAAGCCGACAGGCCGAACGATGTGGGCAGGATGTGTTGTGGTTCCATCCGGTGCAAATCTGCAGGCTGTGGGCCCCCGATGGTGAGATGGCTCGACGTTGCGAAGATCAGAGCCCGCGGCTTTGGAAACGCTGGACAGTGCGGAGCGAAGCGCAGCACCTTAAGCGTCTCGTGTCATAATGTACCATAAGTGTGCGAAGCATTTGTATTGTATAGTTGCAGCTTGTGGCTCCGGCTCTGCCCAGAGCCTAGAGCTAGATACAGGTAGGTTAGCCGTAGGATTTCTTTTGAGGGTTCATGAAGCTGCGTGACTTGCTCGGCGACTTTCCTCATCTGCAGCCGTTGGCAGGGCGTTGGAGTGTGTGCAGACTGGCAACTCTATCCGATCTGAGCACAGCAGAGCTCGGTTCCTTGCTGCTCCGCGAATTGGGATTGGCCTCGCTAGAAGACTGTGTTTT